TGAGATCACGGATCAGTTAAACCCCATTAACATTAAATTAGATGATGAAATTCAAGCCCTCTTAATACTTGGTCAGTTGCCTGATAGTTGGAAGGGCACCGTTATTTCGATTAGTGGATCTTTTGGAAAATCAAAACTAAAGTTTTTATAGGTTGTTGACATGGTTATGACTGAGGAGATTAGAAGGTATGAGGAAGGAGTTTCTAGTTCAGGGTCGGCACTGAGTGTTGAGAGCAGAGGCAGAAATAGAAACAGGGATAAAGGGAATAGCCGTGAGAGACCTAATTCAAGGAACGACAGGTCAAAGTCTAGAAATCGTAGAAGCAAGAAAGACATTGATTGTTGGAACTGTGGTAAGTATGGGCACTATAAGAATCAGTGCAGAGAACCCAAGAAAGGTAAAGGAGAGCAAGACTAAAGCGAACGTCACCTCAGGAGAATGAGATGATGCCCTCATCTGCTCATTGGAGAGAAAAACAGAACCGTGGGTGTCGGATTCGGGAGCATCTTTTCATGCTACCTCAAATAGAGATCTATTTGAGAACTACCTCAAATAGAGATCTATTTGATAACTATGTTCCAGAAAATCTAGGAAAAGTCTACATTGATGATGATCAGGCGTGTGATGTAGTTAGAAAGGGAGTGGTGCAGATCAACCTCAATGGGTTTGTATAGAAGCTGAATGATGTGAGACATGTTCCAAGCATGAGGAAGAATCTGATCTCCATAGTACAGCTAGCAAAAGAGGGATATGTATCAACCTTCGCATGTGATACATGGAAGGTTACCAAGGGGTGGCACTTACAGTCTCTATATATTAGATTTGGCAAGAGAGGAATTTTAGAATATTTCAAAGTAAAGCTCGGCAACCTGAGGAGATTTTTCGAGCTATAAGGATCTCCATCTTCTCCAAAATTTTGAATGACAATTTTCCTATTCACATAAAAGAGAGAATTCAGGCATTGTAAATGCATTGTTGTTAGTTCTCACTTGAGATTTTGAGTTCCAGTTCTCTTAACTAGATTTTGATAGATACATGTAACATATTCTCAATTTTGGTTATGAATAAAATTCTTTTCATTGACCAAAAAAAAGGTTACCAAGGGGTCTATGATTATTACTCGTGGCACGAAGAGTGGGTATCTTTATATGACGACAGATGTATGTGGATCCATTGCAGTGGTTGAGAGCAAAGAAGATCTAAATTTGTGGCACCAAAGGCTTGGTCACATGAGCAGCAAATGGCTGAAGGTTATGCAGTCAAATGGGAAGTTACCAAGTATGAGGTCGACTGGGCTTGACTTATGTGAGAGCTGCATCTTTGGGAAACAGAAGAGAATAAGCTTCAAAAGAGTTGGCATAACTCTGAAGGAAGAGAAGCTTGAGCTAGTTCACACTGATGTGTGGGGTCCAGCATCAGTCCAGTCTACTGGTGGAAGGTTATATTTTGTGATATTCATAAATGATCACTCGAGGAATACTTGGGTCTATTTCATAAAACACAAATCAGAAGTGTTCGAAGTCTTTAAAAGGTGGAAGGCTATGGTAGAAAATGAAACATGTTTGAAGATCAAGAAGCTTCGATCATATAATGGTGGTGAATATGAATATTCAGAGTTCAAGAAGTTCTGTTATGATAGTGGCATCAGATTGGAGTGGACAGTACCAGGTACTCCACAGCAGAATGGCATAGCTAAACGGATGAACAGGACGCTGACTGAGAGAGCCAAAAGCATGAGTCTACAAGTAGGTCTTGCAAAGCAGTTTTGTATAGAAATAGTTAACACAGCTGCCTACCTGATCAACCGGGGACCATCAGTGCCTTTGGAGCACAGAATACCTGAAGAAGTATGGAGTGGAAAGCAGGTAAATATTTCTCATCTAAGAGTCTTTGGTTGTGTTTCATATATTCATTTCAGTGATCATGTTGAAACAAACTTGATTCTAAATCTTTGAAATGTTATTTTATTAGCTATAGTGGTGATGAATTTGGTTATAAGTTCTGGGATGAGGAGAACAAGAAAGTCATCAGAAAGAGGGATGTTGTCTTCAATGAAGCAGTCCTCTACGAAGATCATGTTGTTGTTTAGTCCACTAGTTCGGTGTTGTCTGAGCCTACATACTTCGAGCCGGATGATATTCCAGATGGGAGCAACTTTGAGGCTAGTTCTGATGAGGAAGGAACAGAAGAAGTGGAAGAAGAGATGATAGAGGAGACAACTTCAGAGAGGACAGATGCAGAGCCTGGTCCATCCATCAGAGAGTTGAGGCGAACAGCAAGAGTACCCAAGTCAAATTCGAAGTATCCATCATTACAACCCAGGTCTCATTTGAACTACTTATTGTTGAGTGACAGTGGAGAGCCAGAAAGCTATGATGAGGCATGTCGAGTGGGTGATGCGAGCAAGTAGGAGCTCGCTATGAAAGATGAGATGAAGTCCTTGAACACTAACAAGACTTGGGAGCTTGCGAACTTGCCAGTGGGAAAGAAAGCCTTGAGTAGCAAATGGGTGTACAGAATTAAGGAGGAGCATGATGGTTCTAAGAGATACAAGGCAAGATTGGTAGTCAAAGGGTTTCAGCAGAAAGAAGGAGTTGACTACACGGAAATCTTCTCTCATGTAGTCAAATTGACTACTATCGGATCGGTTCTGAGCATTGTTGCAGCTGAGGATCTACATCTCAAACAGTTAGATGTGAAGACAGCTTTCCTCCATGGTAACTTAGAGGAAGAGATATATATGCAGCAGCCAGAGGGGTTCACTCAGAAAGGCAAAGAGAAGATGGTGTGCAGATTAAAAAAGAGCTTGTATGGTCTGAAACAAGCTCCAAGGTAATGGTACAAGAAGTTTGATGGGTTCATGCAGAGGAATGGATACTCCATGTGCAATGCTGATCATTTTTGTTTCTTCAAGAGGTTTGATATCAGCTATGTTATCTTGCTGCTATATGTCGATGACATGCTAGTTGCTGGTTTAGATATGGGTGAGATCAAGAAGTTGAAGAAGCATATGTCAAGTGAGTTTGACATGAAGGACTTAGGTGCAGCAAAGTAGATTTTGGGGATGAAGATTAGCAGAGACAGGCTTTTGGGCACACTGCGGCTATCTCAGGCCGAGTACATTAGACGGGTGCTTGAGAGATTTGGGATGAGTGATGCTAAGACTGTTAGCATACCTTTGGCTAGCCATTTCAGGTTGACTAGGGAGCAGTGTCCAATGACTGATGAGGAGAAAGACTACATAGTAAAGATTCCATATGCTTCAACCATTGGAAGTCTTATGTACGCCATGGTGTGTACGAGGCCTGACATTGCCCATGCAGTGGGAGCTGTGGGTAGATTCATGTCAGATCTAGGAGAACAGCATTGGGAAACAATGAAGTGGATTCTAAGATACATGTGTGGTACTATAGAGAATTGTTTATGCTTCAAGAGAGGCAAGTTAGGTCTGTAGGGATTTATTGATGCAGACTTTGCTGGTGAGATAGATCAGAGGAGGAGCATTACGGGGTATGTGTTCACATTGGGTACTACTGCCATCAGTTGGGTCTCTCAGTTACAGAAGATCGTTGCTTTATCAACTACAAAGATAGAATATGTTGCTGTGACAGAGGCAAGCAAGGAGATGATATGGTTGCAGGGTTTCTTGGAGGAGTTGGGACAGAAAAATGAGAAGAGTGTCTTGCACTGTGATAGCCAGAACGCTATTCATTTGGTAAAGAACCCAGCTTTTCGTGTTAAGACTAAGCACATACAGGTTCATTATCACTTCATAAGGTCAGCCTTAGATGATGACGTGCTGGAGCTTGTGAAGATCCAAGGAAGTAAGAGCCTGGCTGACATATACTTACGAAGACTATCACTATGGAGAAACTAAAGTTGTGTTCAACTTCAGTTGGCCTCATTGCTTGATAATATGGGAGGCCGTCGCCGCAGGGAAAGGTAATAAAGACTCAAGATGTTGAAGCTTTTCAGGAGCATACTATGGGAAAGTTAGTCTCCAAGTGGTAGATTGTTAGGTTATGTGGAGACTAATTTTCAGACCCGGCCCAATTCGCTTAAGTGATCGATTCGTCAGAACCCCAACTGCGTGGATCGATAGTAGTCAATTTGACCTGGTGAAGACCAGTTAGTCTCCCAAGGGTATACATGTAATTTTAAGTCACACTAATACCCTAGCTATAAAAGGATGATTATGGCACAGCTTGTAAACTATTCAGAACATAGTGGAATTTTACCTGCTGCGGCCGTGGACGTAGCTTCCGTCATCGAGAAGTGAACCACGTAAATTCTGTGTGTTATGTGGTTTGTTTTTCCTCTCTTCCCTCTCTCATCTCTATTTCCAAATCGCAAAAGGGGTTAGAAAAACCCTAGCAGAATACATATAAGATGATTACCGTTTAGAAGTTTGAAACCAGAATGCCTCGAGTTTGGCTAAGTTGTAGATGATTTGTAGTGCAACCACTTAATTATTTGTCCATTAAAGATATTTCATTTCATTCCCTCTAAAATAACCAGAAGGTTACCATCACTGCACAACCTGACTATTTCTATCGATCGCGGTCGATATCGGAAATCCTCCAATCCTTCTGAAAACTCCACAATTGTGATATACGTAGGCAAACATTTTTCCTTGCCTCAAAGAAAGCATGAAGTAGAGCAGTTGAGTCGGGACCCTAATTTCTAACAGGGCAGGTGACCCAAAAATGATGCGATCGGGTCAATGGAGGGATTTGGTCCTGACATATTTCACCTTCTTAAATAGTTCCATGTTAATTAGGGAACAGAGAATTGATAGGGGCCCTAAAGAAAACACTTTGAAAATTTCTGAGCAACACAATTGTCCTCAATTACATGCCTAAAATATGATAACGAGTCCGTGTTAGGAAAATGATTAGAACCTGCCCCACCTACTTAACCATTTTTGTTGTGGGCTGGTCAAATCCTTGAGCCTGTTCTCTCTCTTTATAAAGGGCATTTTGAACCCCCTAACCTCTTGCAATACCTCAATTAGTACTAAGAGATTTTGAGAGAGATATATGGGGATGTACTCTTCTAAGTTTGTTGGTATCTTGTTAGGCCTCTTGCTTGCCTATCAAGCTTCACATTGCTTGGCTCATCCCTTGCACAAGTACTGGCCATCCGGGGGCTCAACAAGATACTATGACTTCAAGGTATAGATGTTTTCCTATTATTTTAAGAGTTAGTTGCATATATTGGCATTGTAGTATATTATGTTGGACGGTACTTAATTATTATCCATAAATTTTCTAGCATGTACTAACTTGACCCCTTGAACTGAAGACAGAATTATCCTTGACATCTGTATATGTCACATGGACATCATGTAACGTCAATATGTTACGGAGCAATCCTGATATTTCAATTCCTCGGCAAAGAGTTTATGTATAACTTCTATAGTTGTTAAACACACATCATCTTCACTGCTACAAAATAATGAAGAAATATCTCTGTTTCTATATGGGTCGTCTAAGTGGTAACCGAAAAGCTTAGGTGTAGTACATCGGCATGTATGTATTAACTCTTTCTCTAATGAAGTAGAGTTAATGTACATTTCCCTTAAAAAATAACTATTTTTTCTTTAAGAAACTTTTCAAAAGGAAAAAAAAATAATAATGCTTGACATCAATATCAATAATTTGCAAAATAATGAATTAGTTATGAAGACTTTTGTACCCTACATAAAAAAATTGGACTAGATAGCTATCAAGCTCTATACCTAGTCAATTTGGCTCGCTCGCTCTAGTCAATTTGCCCGGTCATTCTTAAGTCTATCAACTCTACATCATTACGTAACAATGGAAATGTAACTACTTTTGTTTTTGTTTGTCGTTGTTATAGATTCAAAGGACAAAGATCACAAAGATATGCAAAACAAGGGAGATCGTCACCGTCAACGGCATGATGCCCGGGCCCGTAGTTTACGCCAACGAAGGCGACCGTGTCATTGTCAAAGTCACCAACGAGACTCCTCAAAATGCTACGATCCACTGGTAATAAAAAAAATTTCTGCTCAGGTTCACAGTAGTTGAGAAAGCATAGAGCAAGTTAATGGTCGGAACGCTTATATATCAAGAATAACAAGTAAAATAAGTTCGTATAAATTACAATTCGAAAACCCGAAACCAGAAAATTAATCAAGTAGACTCTTGAACATAAGCGTGAATTGAAATTCTATTTCCAGCAGCGGATACCGTAAATGTTGAAAACTCAGAATGAATGATCTATGCGCAGGCACGGAGTATATCAGAGGCTGACCTGCTGGGCTGACGGGCCGGTGTACGTAACCCAATGTCCGATCCAGGCAGGACAGACATACACGTACGAGTTCACCATCGTCGAGCAGCGAGGCACGCTCTTCTGGCACGCCCACGTGTCGTGGCTCCGGGCAACCGTGCACGGGGCCATCGTCATCTACCCTAAGAAAGGAGTCCCTTACCCCTTTCCCCGCCCTTACGAGGAGCAGATCATCGTGTTTGGTAAATTACCAGCCGATACGAACTTTTATATGCGTGTGTGTATGTATGTATGTACTGATCGATCGTCGATGTTACGTGCAGAGGAGTACTTCTTTAAGGATGCGGTGAAGCTTCAGAGAGCTGTATTGCGTAGCGGCGGAGGAGCTCCGCGTACTGATGCGTATCTCATCAACGGGCACGCTGGTCCTCGCTTTACGAGGAGCAGATCATCGTGTTTGGTAAATTACCAGCCGATACGAACTTTTATATGCGTGTGTGTATGTATGTATGTACTGATCGATCGTCGATGTTACGTGCAGAGGAGTACTTCTTTAAGGATGCGGTGAAGCTTCAGAGAGCTGTATTGCGTAGCGGCGGAGGAGCTCCGCGTACTGATGCGTATCTCATCAACGGGCACGCTGGTCCTCGCTACAACTGCTCCGCCACGGGTAATTTCTAAATGAACAGATCCAACACAGATTAATGAGAAATTACTAAGAGTATCGAATCCTACTCGTATAGTTGACAGAAAAGAGATTTACTGCGTCATTTTTCTCCGTATTAATTAGACGAATGTAGGAGTGTAATCTATGCAAACTATTTTTATGTCTTCAGATGTGTACAAGGTCGACGTGATTCCGGGCAAGACGTACCTCCTCCGCCTAATCAATGCCGGCCTGAACCAAGAGCTCTACTTCTCCATCGCCGGCCACAAGATGACCATCGTTGAATCCGACGCCGAGTACACCAAGCCCTTCGCCAGGGACCACATCATGATCGCTCCCGGTCAAACCATCAACGTCCTCGTAAAGGCCGACCAGCCCATCGCGAACTACGAGATGGCCGTGGGCCCCTACGTCACCGCCCAGAACATCACCTTCCAGAACATCTCCGCCGTCGCCCACTTCCAGTACTCCGGCGCCAGTCTCAACAAAGCGGCCGAGCTCGCGATGTTGCCGGCGTTCAACAACAACCTCGTCTATAATTCCCACCTCGACGGCCTTCGTAGTCTCAACGCCAATTCTCTCCCGCTCAAAATCGATACAAATTTGTTCTTCACGATTGGACTCAACATCGATCCTTGCAATCGAAGAAACCCGAACAAGACGTGCACGGCTCCGAACGGAGGGATATTTAGGGCCTCTATGAATAACATAAGTTTTGTTACCCCGAGTCTTTCGATTCTGCAGGCGTACTTTTTCGACACCCCCGGGGTTTTCAGGCCGGACTTCCCAAAAAAGCCGCTGAAGTTCTATAACTTCGTTTACGGAGCGCCCAACAATATCCCGAATAACACGGCGGCGACGAACTCGACGAGGTTGGTGGAGTTAGAGTTCGGGGAGACCGTTCAGCTGGTGATGCAGAACACCGGGACGATCACGACGGAGAACCACCCGATGCATTTGCACGGGTTCAATTTTTACGTGGTTGGATTCGGCACGGGGAACTATAATCCGAGCACTGCGGAGTTCAATTTGGTCGATCCGCCGTCCTTGAACACGATTGGTGTTCCGGTCGGTGGATGGGCAGCGATAAGATTCACAGCCAACAATCCAGGTATATATCCATGATCATATTTACGACATGATGGTCACATGTTATAAATACGAACAAACAGTTCTCTCGCAAAATGAGTTGTCAGCTCATCACGTACGTGCGATAATAGTTTATCTAGTTTTTAATTAATAACTAGTTCTTGTGCTGATTAATTAATTGATTTTGATTGACGTAGGAGTGTGGTTCATGCATTGTCACCTTGATATACATCTAAGTTGGGGATTCTCAATGGCTTTCCTTGTGAAGAACGGGGTGGGGCCCTTGGAGACTCTTCCTCATCCTCCTGCGGATTTGCCAAGGTGCTAAGTAAACGAGAGAAGGAAAAAAAAAAAAAAAAGAGGAAGGGGAGAGGTTTGGAAAGAAAAAAAAAAAAAAAAGAGGAAGGGGAGAGGTTTGGATTTGAGTTGTTCTGAGTTTGAGTTGTGGATCTCCCAGTGTGGCTTTAAGAATTTGCATTGTAATTTCAAGGATATGTATTTGATTGTAATTTCAAGTGAATCATAATAATATACACATTGCTTTACCCCTTGTTGAGTAAAATCATCATTTTTCTCATTTCCTTTCTCTACTTCCAATTTCACCATCAGGTTGTGATGTGAAAATGAGAGCAGGCCAAGTTTACAGTATTTTTGGTGAACATGACTTCGTTAACTCTATTTAATTTGTACTAGTATTGAGATTTGGCTCAGTAATAAACCGGTGGATCAAAATCAAATCTAATACATTCTAAATTCAAATCCAGACCATCATTTAAGAAAATAATTAATACATGTTCGACTAACTATCAAGTTGGTATAAGGCTCCTTTGTAGTTGGCATCTTTCTGATATATAGATTTGTTTATCTTTGGAGGAAATTCCTAATATTTTGTTACCTCATTTTAGTTTCCCTTCATAAAATAAAAATCAAGAAAAACAGAATCTAAATCATAAAAGGTTCCAACGACTTCATGTCAAAAGAAACAAACTAAAAATAACTACCTAGAACAAAAGTTGTAGATAGATAATAAAGTAAATGGGGTAAGTACATTTTAGTGATTACGTTAGCATATATTAATCATTAGGTGCTCGAGGAAATATTAGTTTTTTAGCTATTAACCAAGAGGATCCCACCTCTCGTAAATTATACTTATCTATATCTATTTCTTTATATATTCAAGATAAATCATACCATTCATGAAATGACAAAAACAATTTTAATTAATAAAATACGATCCATCCAGTGTCTGATTGGGGTGAATATAATCCAAATCTCTAGTGTTTAATCATAATTATTCTATGTGTTGCAACAATAACGTCAACAATGAGTAGGTGACCTAAAACCAATAGGTATGTTGGGGCTCTCAAGTACGCGTGCCTCTTCTTTATGCACTATACACAAATTATTTCCTAGGGTCTCTTTACATCACTTCAAATATATACCTAACTAAAGTACAAAATTAACTTTGATTTTGTAAAGGAAACAAGAAACAAAAACGAGAATTGGTGTACCAACTTTTGTTCCCCATGTGCATGTAAACTGAGGAGTTCTTTTTGCCTCAAAGAGCTATACATAACTAGTAATGGCATAAGATGATCTCATGAGTTTGCATTTGTTGTTTAAATTGGTTTTTTTTTTTTTTTTTTGAGGGTGCAAGTATTACATGAGGACTCTATATATTTTTTTCATTTTATGAGTTTTCTACCCTATAGGTATTTTTCATAGAGAGCTTATAAAGGACTGCATGGGGCTTAGTCTTGCCGCTAGTTCTCCAAAAGAAAACAAATAAAATAAATAAATAAAAGAAAACTGGCTAGTAATGGAATTGGAGTTATAAACCAGCCAATCAAGTGGCGATAACTTTAGGTTCACAGAGTAGAATTGATAATCCGAACTAAATTTTTTAAAGGACACTTTCTTGATACTAAGGTATTGACATACTAATATATTCATCTATAACGTTACAAAGGTAATAAATTTATACATTTTTTTTGGCATAACATTGGAAGGTATCAAATTTGTATCTATACTCAAAACTTTGGTTAAATAGTAGTTTATACATGCAAATATATTGAAGAGAAAAACAGAATACAGGTTTGGATCTCCAGCGGTCGACCGCGAGGCAAGCGCGGTCGACTTTCTGTCGATTGGTTGCGGTCGACTGTGACGGTCGACCACGAGACCCTGTAATGTTTCCTAGGTTCTGTCTTTGGTTTTGATCGACCGCCGCGGTCGACCACGTGTCGTGCTGGGCCTTAGACATTGTCTCCTATTTGCTTTGGGATTGTGTTTTGGTATATATTGAAATACGATTTTATAGGGTTCCCAAGGAGAGATTAGAGAGTGTTCTGAGCATATTGAGAGGGAGAATTTGTGAGCAAATTGAGAGATCTTTTAGTTGGGTTAGTTTGAGTGTTTGAGAGATTTGTAACTCTTTGTACTCTCCTTGATTTAGTAGAATCTCCCTATCCTCCCCCCGTGGACATAGGCAATTTGTTGAACCACGTATATCTCTATGTTTACGATTAGTTTGTCGTATTTGTTTGGATTGTGCTCGAGTTTGGTTTGTTAATCTTCTCCCGTGACTCACGGACTCGTTCGGTGTGCGAGCACACTTCCGCAAAGGCGCGTGACAATTAGTATCAGAGCTCAGATTTTAGATCTAGGGTTTTGGTATTAGGTGGAGGAAGATTCGTCATGGAAGCTTGGTTCTTAGAGTTCTAGGCTTCGGTGGAGATAGTGTTTGGGGTTGCCGTTGAAGATTTTGTTTTCCTCGTGTGGTTAGGAGATCTATTTGGAATCCGTTCTAGGGTTCATTTGGGTAACTTCTAAATTTTATCAAGTTTAAATTTTTTTTCTCTACAATTTGAAGTTTGTGAGTATGGAAGAAAAAGTTGGTGAAAGCAACAAGATGGGGGGTATAGTTTAAGTTTTTTTTAGAACACTAAAGTTAGTATAGTTAAATATGACGGCAAGATCAATTTTGGTTTTTGGATGAGCGACATACATGATGCGCTTAATGCTCAGAATTTGAAGGAAACCATCATGGTCCATGAGAGACCGCCAAAATATGAAGAGGCGGTTGGAAAAAGATGAATAGGAATATTTATGGGGTGATCAGGTCTTGTTTGGAACAGGAGCTAAAGTATGATGTGATTAGAGTGATGTATGCAATGAAGATGCGGAAGATTCTCAATAATAAGTACCTGATAAAGAGTGTTGAGAACCGTTTGTACTTGATGTGAAGATTGTTTAGATTTCAGATGTCTAAGGACACTTTACTAGTAGTTCATATGAACAACTACACTAAGTTGTTGTTGGACTTGCCAATGTGGATGAGAAGATTCTGGATGAGTATAAGGATATTATTCTTTTAGGCTCCTTACTGGATGAGGTGTATGATACCTTCGTGCTTACATTGTTGAATGGGAGATCTTCAATCACATATAGTGAAGTTACTAATGCTTTGACGAACTATAATTTGTGAAGGAAGGACAAGGAGATTTCCTGCTAGTTGTAGGCTGTCTAAAAATCACAATAGATAGCTGATCCCCATCAAACACCGATGATGGAAGTTACAATCTGACGACTTCCAGAAGGCTACAATTTAAAGACTTTCACGTGGATCGATGAAGGTTACAATCTGACGACCTTCATAACAATTGATGAAAGCTCTAATCAACAGCCTCCATAATCAACATCAGGAGTTACAATCTGACGACTCTCACGAATCAAAGAGCTAAAGCAAAGATTACAAAATGACGATCTTTGCAACGTTCTGACAGAAAGAGACTACAAATCGACGGTCTCTTCAAACCAAGACGTGGAAGTCCTCCCCGCGTACCAGCATCAAGACGCACCGCGTTTATAGCCACAAACGCAGCTCAGATGCAGCTTCGAACGCTGCCAACGCAGCTTCCAAATCGCTGCAAACGCAGCTCCAGCGCAGCTTCCAACTGCTGCCAACGCAGCTTCCAACTGCTGCCAACGTAGCTTCCAACCGCTGCCCAAACGCAGCTCCAAAGCAGATTTCAAATCGCTGCAAACGCAGCCCAACGCAGCTTCCAACCGCTGCCAATGCAGCTTCCAACCGCTGCCCAACGCAGCTTCCAACCGCTGTCAACGCAGCTTCCAACCGCTGTCAACGCAGCTTCCATCCGCTGCCAAACGCAGCTTTCATCCACTGCCAAACGCAGCTTCCAAGCCGCCAAACGCAGCTTCCAACAAGATGCCAACGCAGCTTCCAGCCGCTGCGTCCGAGCTTTCAGACACTGCGTTCAAGCTTCCAGGCACTGCGTTTGAATGCAGAATTCACACCAGAACGCGGATTTTTCATTTGACTCGTTCAAACACGAGCTGAACGGTTTCACAACCGTCTCCCACGATCTGAGGGGATCACAACTCCACTCAGAAGTGATTTAAGGGGGCGGTTACATCCCATTAGCCCCACTTGGGAGCGAATTAAGGAGGTGGTTACACCCCTTAATCCCCTATAAATAACTGAAAATCAATTCAGTTCAGGGGTTCGGTCGGCTAGATCTTTCATCCTTTTTTTTGGCAGCAAAGAAGAGATCCTTGGCTGGTCTAACCAATTATGGTTAAGATCAATTAACTCATCAAGAGTTCTAAAACTTGCCATGCAAGTTCTCCACAATGTCAAAATCGTGAGGATAAGATCATGTTCCAGTGAAACAAGACGTCGGATCGTCAACGAGAAGCAAACTCGACGCGAGCAATCGAGGAAGGCATCTCATCGCCACCGTGAAGAACCCAGAATTAAACAAATGGGAGAATCCAGATCATTCTCCTCTCTTTTGTAATCAGGAAATCCAATTGTAACTGAGATTAAAGGAATATAAATCAATTTTCCTTCATTTCTTTTACTGCAAATTTTTCCACAAACACTAGTACGTCATGATAGGCCTTGTCGACGAGAGGTAGAAGCCCATATCCGAAGGTGGTAACAGGAGCAGGTCGAAGTCTAGAGGTCATCACTAGTTAGCTAAGAACCAGTGTGCGTTCTGTAAGGAACAGGGATATTGGAAGAGAGACTGTCTGAAGCTCAAGGAGAAGGAGAATGGCAAGAAAAAGGGCCCGAAGGCTAATGAGGTGAATATTACGAAAGATGATGATTATGATGATTCGATCTTTTCTCTATTGATTACTCAGAGGTGAACCATGTAGATGCATTAGATTGGATGCTTGATTCTGTAGCTACTTATCATGTGACCCCTAAGTGAGATTGGTTTGTATCATTTGAGAGACTCGATGGGGTGTTGTCATCATGGGAAATGATCAATCCTGTGGTATTTGTGGGATAGGTACCGTGAGGATCCAGATGTATGATAGAGTAGTCCGTGAATTGAAAGAATTA